GGTGACTTCTCCCTGGAGCACTCGGGATGATGGTAGCCCGCGGGATCGCTAATGCCCGTCACCTCGCCTCAAGGTGCCCTGCGGGCTTATTATTATTATTATTATATTATAACCAACAACAACAGCAACAAATAACTCAACACAGGTGACAAGTGACAATCTTGTTGTTCTACTCAATAAAGATGAATACTAGCGACATCTATGTTACATAACTGACAACTGTGGTCGTTAACATTGAAATAATTATGTATAGTTTTTGATAACGTTACAATATGTAGATTTCTGATATTCTAATAAACAAATTACGTATGTTGTTATTTCAGAAGGCTCAATAAATTAAAACAAATAAAAGCTATTACAACTTTTATTCATTTCTGATCAGCTTTATCATTTATAAAAACTAGCAAAATTTTTATATGTCATAGACAATACGTCAACCAGAAAATAAACGTCTGGTCTTGTAACTGGCAACATTTTATCTAAAGTTGTCAATGTCAAAACGCTTGTTGTCAAAACTTCTTGTCTATTCCTTTTCCTGTTAAATTTTCTCCTGAGAGGTTGGTTTCGTGTTTGTTAAAATCTAAATTAATCACGATTACTATTGAGTTTTGAATTAAATCCTATTATGGTGTATTTATGGACAGTGTATTCTAATTGTTCATGTGTATATTTTATAAAATATGTGAAAATCCGGAATGTTATAAAATGATAACCTATGTTCGTAAGCGTTTGAGACATAAGCCGCTCTGTGTTTCAGAAACTAAAAATGGGTCGTTACTCTCGGGAGCCTGATAACCCAGCGAAGTCATGCAAGGCGCGTGGCTCAAACCTCCGTGTTCACTTCAAGGTAAATCCGTAAATGTATTTGTATACATGTTATTGATTCCACATGGACTGACACTCTTTCACGTTTTTGTACTATCTACTTATAAGTAAACGATAATCTATGAATTAGAAAGTCTTAAATTCACCGACTGCATTGCTAGATATAGTCAAACTAGATAATTAGAGGCAATGTACATGTTTTCAGGTTAGTTTGGTACAAAGAAACAAACTGCTTTAGTTTGAAGTTATTCAACGAAATTTTTACTTGTTGGTGTCTCATTTTCAATTATAAAGGACCTAACACCAATATTTGTGATATTTCATTTGTTACTATCCATAAGAGCCGAGTGATATCTCTGATAACTTGATTTGACATCAACTACAATGGCCACAACATTGTAAAACAAAATCCCTTTGAGATACACATTCAATCTACTATAATTTAAAAATTTACCCATTATCACTTCACACAAACTTCACCAAACTCAAACAAACCTTTTAATTATAACTTTCAGAACACATATGAGACAGCAATGGCGATCAGGAAACTGCCCCTGCGCCGCGCTGTACGTTACCTGAAGAATGTTACAGAGAAGAAGGAATGCATTCCATTCCGCCGCTTCAACGGTGGTGTAGGTCGTTGTGCACAAGCCAAGCAGTTCGGCACCACACAGGGTCGTTGGCCCAAGAAGTCTGCGGAGTTCTTACTCCAGCTGTTGAGGAATGCCGAGTCCAACGCTGACTACAAAGGCTTGGATGTTGACAGGCTTGTCATTGATCACATTCAGGTGAGCTTTCCTGCCTTTTGATGTAGTTATAAGTAAAAACTTACAGGCAACATCATAGGCAGCCTGTATGTAAGTGAAGCCTCACAATAATCTCTTCTCACATGGAGAGGGAATGAAATGTAACCTAACCTATATTGTGTGTTAGCATGGAACAAAAACTAGATAGTTTTTTATGGATTCTTGTTAACAAATAAGTAGTGAAGTTTGTTATTGGTTGTTCAGTAAATTTATCTAGTTATGGTCAATGTGTTTTAAAATGAATGGTTTGCTATGTATAATACTAATGAATTACATTATCTGTAGGCAGTAACTATTTATTTTATAACGATGGTGCTTATTGAAAGTATAAGTTGATATGAATATTATATTTTTTCATTTCCAAAGGTATAAGTTTTATATCAGATTAGGTAGTAGTTCATTTCTTCATTTATTAGGTTTAGTAGCAATTAGTAACTGTGCTAATTTAGGATAATTTGATATATCTTGGATATGAAATTTGTTTGAGTCATAAGCACAATATTAATACACAGAATTAGTTCAATTCCATCCTTTTAAAACATTGTAGCACTTTGGCAAATTTTTTTCTGTATGGGAACGGGCTTATTGCATACCCACAGTATCACTCACTTATTACGATTATGTTACTCATGTTATAGACCTCTTATTCAAGCTTTAGTCATTTTACTCCAGTGCCTAGGCAAACGCCACTTTAGCGCTTGTCTACAGAGAGAGTAGAAAACTAAATGTATGGGTATGACACTGACAAGTGTAAAAATTTACGTCAATCCCATATAATTTGATTTTCTTTTCTACATGTAGACAAGCACTAAATGGCATTTGGCTACAGCTGCAGGCATGAAAATGTCAATAATAAGCTTATTATATATATTTTAATGCGGTTTTCATTTACACTTTAATTACTCAATCTGTTTTCAAAGACTTAAGTGGATTACATAATTTCATTTCTTTCCTTTTTATTGGTGGTACAATAAAAGGACATGAATGCATTGTGTTCTTCGCCGACAAAATATATTTTTAAGATCTATCAATATTTTTGTTCCGTGCGATGTGTACATGAAATTTTTTATATCTGAGAAAGTCCCACAAAATAAATATTGGAATCTTAAGTGAGGTACAGCTACTCTGCAACATGGAATTGATCCAGAGACACTTTTCCATTGCAGTTGGATACTGGTTACCCTTTGTTTAGGAGAAAAGGCTAAGGAAGGACTAATATTTAACTTGATGGTAAAAATATGGTTTTAGTTTGTACCGAAATCAATTTATTCACTAAATAAGACTATTCTGTTTGTAATCTGATTGTTTTCAAGTCAATTGTTGTATTATGAGGAAATAACACTGGTTTGAAGCCATCATATCATATATCATCAGATATTTTCAAAGATGTTAAATTGTTTGTTAGTTAGAAATATTGCCTTTTTGCTTGTCAGTGTTACTATTTCATTGTCATCACTGTTTTCGAAAGGCATACATTAATAATGGTTAACATAAAGGAAGTTTTCTTATGGAACTTTCTTTTCTCGACTATTAACATTTATTAATTAAAGTAGTATCATATTTGTTTTATTCTTTGTGTTGTAAATGGGAAGATGTAGATGATAAAGAATTACCATCTACTTTTTCATCTCAGAAGAGATGGTATTGGACTAGTGCTTGATACAGGAAATGTATTTTATTTTAGAACTTGTTTTATCTCTATAATAACATAACATAACATAACATCACGCCTTTTATCCCCGAAGGGGTAGGCAGAGGTGCACATTACGGCACTTAATGCCACTGTACAATGTAACACCCACTTTTCACTATTTATGTTATGAGTCCCATGTAATAGGGTAAATCTCTATAATAAATGGCAACAAAGTCTCGATTTGACTCAGAAGATTGTCAAAAGGCTCTCGGTATAACACAATTTGCATAATTATTAGTGAACATTTCTGTTACATTAAGTATTTCACTTCTTATAGCAAAATAAGCGTAATTTTGTTGTGTGTGTTGCAAGACTAACCAATTATATTTTTTTCACAGGTTAACCGCGCTCCCTGCCTACGCAGACGCACATACCGCGCTCACGGTCGTATCAACCCCTACATGTCATCGCCCTGCCACATCGAGGTCTGCCTGAGCGAGCGTGAGGACGCCGTCGCACGCGCAGCGCCCGCCGACGACGCCCCCGCTAAGAAGAAGCTGTCCAAAAAGAAGCTTGCTCGCCAGAAGGAAAAGATGATGAGGGAATAGACATTTAAGGGTTAATAAATGATTTTACCATCTATTTTTTGTTTTCTTTTGTAGAGTGACGTCCTTATTGTAACTGCTCTTCACGCGGAAGAGCCAAGTTTCGCCAGAATGGGCCGGCACGACCGAA